TAAGCTTTATATGTTCTTAGAAGATTAGCTAAATAGTCTAATTAGATAGTTATCTTCTTAGCAAGATTACTAGTATAAATAGGTTGTTAGGCCTATTGTAATCTTTGACTCTTTTCCGTTTTTCACAATCATTGAAATAAAGTGAAACCTTTGACACTCAAGTATATTCTTTGAATGTTCATCAATTGTTCTTGAGTGTTCATCATTTTATTCATCCAAACACTATAATTAGGTTATTCTTTACTTAATCATTAGTGTTATTGAGAGATCTGGGATCAACACTAATAACCTCATGATTGGATATTGGATCAGGTTCTACTTGAGCCATTTCAGGAGTAGCTAGAATAGGCAACAAATTTCTTTGTAATTGTCTTCTCCTTCTAAAGGTTCTTTCAATGTTTGGATCTAACTCAAAAATAGTCACATGAGATATCCTTGGCATAAACCACTAAAAATGAACACTTGATGGTAGAAAAAACAAATTTTAAAGTAACTTAAAGAAAAACTCTTTTTGGCTAAAGTCCCCGGCAAAGGCGCCAAAAACTTCATGTGGAAGGATCTTATACTCTTAAAAGGTTATAATGACAAGTAAATCATGCAAGTATAGATGGCTTACAAGTATCGTCCAAATAAAGTAATAATGGTAAGTTATTCCAAATATTGTTTGTTGTCCCAATATCAATCAATCTTCCTTAAATTTTCAAGAACAATGGCAGATCTGTATTTATTCATGTAAGAACATAGGAGTAGACAGAGAAAGTCAAGATCTACAAATATGGTCAAAATCTCTATTACGTAAATCAGATTTTACAATGGAGTATCCTTCTTAGATTACAAAGACCTCACCCTATTTATAGGGTCAAACAAGACACAAGGTCAAAGTCAAACTATTCTAAAGAAAAGTTAAACACGATGACTTCTACACAATTAGAGACAATTTTATCTTTCAAGACGAATACAATTTTACACTGATTTTTAGTCCCAACATTTTCTCCTTTTGTATTCAGACTTGAAAGAATTTGCGCGCTTTAAGTCTTGTTTGAACTTTGAAGCTTTAAGCACTCTATGTCTTCTTCAAAAACCAACTTCAACTTGAAATCTTCAGACAATCAATTGTTGAGAAAGATCTTCTAACATTCTCCCCCTCGAATGTAGAACAACGATGATCTTCTCTTTTTGACAATGTAGAACAGAAACAATAACGAACGAATTTTAAACATTCTCCCCAATAATGAATTTCTTCAGATAAGATCACAAACATTCTTTTACAACAAGAAATCTCTATCAGTAAACTGTTGTAATGATGATCTTCACATTCAACAACTCTCAGACATTGTAGCATCGGAATAATCTTTGTAATCATCTCCAGTCGCACTCCTTTTGAGTCTTTTGCCATTATTGAAGTTACTCCCCCTTGATCTTTACATCAGATTCCCCTTATAATGTTCAGAATTGGACATTTCATTCATTATTACATACTCCCCCTAATGATGAAATGAGAATCATTCCATCATACACAAGAATGAATGAAATCCTCCGCGTAAGCCGTCAATTCAT